ACAGACTATCCAATTGTAGGCCTCTATATTAACTCTAAGAGTCCGGTATTCACTAGTCGTCTTAGAGCCCATGTTACTGTGAGTCATGTAAAGATCATCCCAAGATGTCATACCTATAGTCATAAAAAGTTAGTTCTGTTGATAAAACATAATATGTCTGTAAAATATGTTCAGTATTAGTAAATTAATTCCACTATTATATATATAAGTCTCATGTAAGACTTAATTCCAGGCTCTGATATTACTTTGTCACACCCCGAAATTTTTTTTCCTTTTTAAAAAAAATACCCGGGTGTGATTAAGGAATAAAATTTACCAAACTTACAATAATCTTCCTTATATTATTTTATTTTTCGTACGAGTACATAATCTTCACAAGATCATTTCAAATATTCTTGATACAACATAAAGAGAAATAATAATAGCAGACTCTATCCTTTCAGCCTATCTTCTAGCTTGACTTCATATATCTGAAAAATGTTAAATAAGGATGAGCTCACCAGCTCAGTAATATAACGTTTATCAATGACTACCAAAGTTTTAAAACAATGAATAATATAATTAAACCGCAAATAAATGCAGGAATAGGGCAAAATAATGAATCAAATAAATAAATTTCAGCGCATATTGATCATATCAATCTGTCAATTTTCTGGTCCACACATGAACCGCCTCTGGAGAAAACTTTGGGGTCTTGCACCCTAGGGAACCTAATGCCCTTCTTGCTTTTTTTTGAAAACACCAATACTGAAAATTATGTGGTGCCACACAGGCAACCACGGCAAACCGATATTACTAACCGGTGAACCCAAAGATTAGTAGGAATCCTGTGAATCCTAATAAGGATCACACATCTACTAACCTTCTGCCCTCGATTATGTGCATTTATAGTAATTTCATCAAAATTACAAAATAAAATCATATCGTAGTCAGACCCATAACAAATCAAACATTAAATATTAATAATAAAATAGACATTTATTATTCAACATGTAATTAAGGTCTCGATAAAAAAAATACAATATGAGCATGATAATGATTTATTTATAAAACCTCAGTCTAACCCCATGATATAATATTACATTTTATAATTAAAAATAGATTTGATATAAAACCTCCAAATATGCGTAAAATGCATCAATGATAGTAAAAGATAAAAGAAACCCTACCTCTTTGACTTCTATTCGATACCGTGTACTGTAACAAAATAACCAAAATAATATTTTAAAATAACAATAGGTACTAAGGGCTTAATCAACCTAAAATAAGTTTTGGAATAACTAACGAAAGATAATAATACTTAAATTTGATATGAAAATATTTAATACAGATCAATTTTAAGTGACTCGAACATATAAAAATTACTAAATAATAACTAAAAACTTTTACCCAAAGTTTTGATCGCAATCGCAAACTCTTAGATCTATAAAATTTTTGCCCCATTTTTCCCTCATTTCTTTCTTTCTCCCTTTCTTTCTTCCTCCCTTTCTCTTTTTTTTTTCCTTGTGCCGTTCAAAGTTACCGAGCATGGCTATTTATAGCCCAAAAATTGCTGGGGACCAAGCATCTTATGGACAGTTGTCCAGTTCTCGCCGATCTCTCCTCTTTTTTTTTTTTCTTTCTTTTCTTTGCACGTTTCACATTTACACTTATTGTGCTTGTAAAAATCTAGAATATAGAATAGTAACTTTATAAATATCTTTATATATATAGATATGAATATATTCACTTTATTATAGGATTACGATATTGGACCTATATTATAGTTATTTAACTCATTTTTACGCAAAAATTCTATATTTGAGATCTATTTGTTTATAAAAAAATTATTATTTTTATTTATTAATATAAAATCATAATTGACGATCAAATTAATGTGTCGATAATTAATTTATATACGGGTTGTCACAATAACTATCCTCCCCAAAAAACTAGTTACCTATCATTTCACGACACCGTCTCAACTAAGATTTTGTGCCTATAAATTATAAATTCTCTCTCATGAGCATCCTATACATCTCTCTACACACCTTACACAGTTATTTCTCTCGTAACTATCAAGAGCATACACTTGCTCTCTCTCACCTACTATTTCATCAATTTTAGGTCATTCTGACCAAACCACTCTATATTTGTGTTATTTGTGAGGATCTCAATTTATATTTGTTGCATTCATTACCTACATTAATTACTCGACAAATGGTGCATAAATCTACTTTTGTACATCATTGGTCTCTATAATTCAATTTATTTGTATTTTTTTATTTTATGCTCTTAATTCAAACGTCATGCATGTAATTGGTCTTTGTTTGCATGTGATAAAGCTCTGTAAATAAGTATCAACTTGCTTTTATCGATATAAAAATTGCAACATAAAATTATAGATTTACCCTAAATTAAATTCCTGACTACGCCCTTACTTGCAATTAGTGTGGTTCTTGGTTATTACAAGAGAAGAAAAACCAATACATTGTGACAAAATTTTTGGCTTTTTGACCCAATTCCATCCTATCTTTTATTCATATGTAATTGTAGAGACATGGGAAACAACTTTTATTATTCAAACCCAACCATGTGACAAGCAGTGGACCAAGAAGCCAAGACTTCATGAAAACTGATTACGATCTTTGAACCAACTGAATGATGATCCGTTGTATATTAGCTGAGCTTGGCAAGTCCTCATGGCCTGTACAACTCACACGTCTACCTACTTTGGCCATGAACTTATTGTGTGTACACATGTTGAGCATTCCTGTGTAGATGAAGAGTAAGTTATAATATTTGATAGAATTTACAGTCAATTTAAAGATCATGACAAATCAAGTCAACAAATAAGACGAAATTTTTAGGTTTAAATAATATTATTTTTAAATTATTTTTAATGCTTATTAAATTATTAAATTAATGATGTCATGTTTATTAAATTATTTATCAAATTTTCTATTCTAAATTAGTATAAATTATTAGATCAGTGGGGCCACTAACTTTCACTAAACATTTAATACATAAGATTTTGACATATCATTTAAAATATAACATTTGATAAACAATTTTAAAAAACATAGTTATACTGTCGGATCATGAGATGGAAATCCTTGGATTGGCGGACTTGATTAATGCTCCGTTTGATAGGAAAGATGGAAAGTAGGAAAGATAGAAAGTAGGAGGGATATACTTTTTATCCTTCAAAGATGAAAAATAAGAATGATTTGTTTTCCTTCCTTTGTGTTTGGTTGGATGAATAAAAAATAAAAATGACCAATTTTTTTTAATTTTTTTTCTCCAATATTAGGAGTGATAATTGAATTGTATCATGTCATATCAAATTCGTGTTAAATTATAAAATTATGAGCCTTTTATATTTTTTATTCGCGTGTTAGGTCATTTTTAAGTTCGTATCCTAAAATTTGTGTCGAGTACGAGTCGTATCATCGTGTTAAGTCAAAAATTTTCACCCCCAGTTAAGATAAAAAGAATATTTTTTAATGTAAAATTTTTATTTTTTATTTTATTTATGTATTTATTTTATTTTTTAAATATATATATATAAATACATATTTTATCGTTGTATTTTTATATGAAATTAATGTATACATAATATATAGATAAATAAGATACATCTCAACACAAATAATTACCTTCTCATCCACTTTCCTTCGAATTTTGGAGGAATTGATTTTGGTGAGTTGAAAAGAAAGTTAATCCATCAACTTTTTCATCATTCCTATTTTCCTTTCTTACCAAGTATGATGTTTTATTTATCCCTCTAATTTTTTATCTTTCCATTTTTCATCATACCAAATGAAGCATAAGTTATCGCAAAAATAAACAAATAAAAAAATTGGAGCTATGTCTCTAAAATCTACTATTTCAAATGGTGTTTTAATAATTTTGTGGATTATTTTATAATCCAAAAATTTATTATTATTGTGGGTAATTTATTATTTTTATAAGTGTTTTTATTACAATTATGAATATTTTTATCATTGTTACAATATTTATTTTTACAATTTTTTTGATACAATTTTTATTATCTCTTTTATGAATCTTTTTATCACTATTGTTATATCATTTTTATTACTTTTTTAACTATCAAAATAACCCAACGTATCTTTGGTCCAATGATACTCTTTGTCTTGTGAAGACTTTACTTTTTTGAAATTAAGGGTCCAAATCCCCTTTCCCCCACTCCATCCTAGAAAAAGAAATTGAAAAAAAATGATCAAAATAATAATAAGAAAATTTAAATATAATGAATTTTAATAAAATATCAAAAATTTTATTTTTAGTTTTAATTTTTTACGAAGTTTGTATAGTGTTACCCAAAAAAATCAAAATTTCATTTTAAAATGGTTGACACGTTTTCTTTTTTAAAGAAATCGAAATAAATTAATAATTCAATCAAAATTTCAATGCTTCGAAATATTTTGAAGCGTTAAGATATTCCAAAATATTTTTAAAATTCCTATCGAAATAATGCACCTAGAGAAATTTTCGATCCTCACGACATCTCCCAAAACCAAAAGGACCAAACTGCAAAAAAAAAAATTATAAAAAAAAAAAAAAAGAGAAGACCAAGAATCCCTAACCAGAACTGTCTCCGTCCTCAAACCCCCCAATCCCGTTCCGTCCTCTCCGTCAAACCCAAAGCCCAGAAAATATTTTATTTACCCAACCACAACAACGACGTTACGTATCATCCTAACGTCATCAAACCAACCGTCTCTCGCACGCGCTCGCCCCGGCGACCTCACCGAGTCTTCACCGTACCCGTTACCCCCCACCCCCTCTTGCTCTCTATCTCTCTCTCCCTCCCTACACATGCGTCTCACTCGTCTGTCGCCAGCCGGCGCATTCTCGCCGCTCATCAATTTCATCACACCAACCCCTTCACCGACGCAACCTCTTTCTTTCTCCTTCACCCTCAAAAACTCCCAACCACCACCACCACGTCTACCAAATAAGCCTAACCCACCACCAGATCTGCTACAACATACCCAATGGGTGAGGCAACGGAATCGTCAATACCCAAAACGGCGACGTCAAGGCCACTGCCCTTCCGGGAAGATTGCTGGTCGGAAGAGGCCACATCAACCCTTGTTGACGCTTGGGGTCGGCGGTATTTGGAGCTTAACAGAGGAAACCTCCGGCAAAAAGACTGGCAAGAAGTGGCTGATTCGGTGAACGCCCTTCATGGCCACACGAAGAAAACTCGGCGAACTGATGTCCAGTGCAAGAATCGAATCGATACCCTGAAGAAAAAGTACAAGATCGAGAAGGCCAAAATAGCAGAATCAAATGGGGTTTTTACGAGTTCTTGGCCATTCTTTTTGCGATTGGACGTGTTAATTGGAGTTGGAGTTGGAGTTGGGCTTGGAGTTTCATCTATTGGGTCAGTGAAACAAAAGAATGTTACCCAGACATCTAAACATATATCTGTTGCTGGTGTTTCAGAGTCACCGATATTATCACCACCACTGCTGCCGCCTATGGCGTTGGCTCTAACATACAAGAAAATGCCGGTGACCCCGCTGGTGATGCCGCAAAAGAGGCCGGTAGAGGCTGTGGATGATGGGTATTTTAGGAGGAATTATTCGGCCGTGGCGGCAGCGGCGGCAAAGGGGGTGGAGGAAGAGAAAGAGGAGGTGGAAGAGGAGGGGGACAGTGATGAGAGTGAAGAGGAAATAGAGGGGGGCATGAGGAAGTTGGCGAAGGCGATTGAGAGTTTTGGGGAGATATATGAGAGGGTTGAGGGGACGAAGCAGAGGCAGATAGTGGAGTTAGAGAAGCAGAGGATGCAGTTTGCTAAAGATTTGGAGGTTCAGAGGATGCAGCTGTTTATGGATACTCAGGTTCAGTTGGAGAAGATCAAGCAGGCCAAGAGGTCGGGCTCTTCGGATGGTAAGAGTTTGATATCTATTTATCTTTCTAGTTACACTGTTTGTGATTCGTTTAGGCTTTAACCGGTCTGTTTTGGAGCTAGATTATTGTAAGAAAGTTTTGGTTAAATTTGCTTGGGAAGATTATTTTGATGTTAAAAGGTACCTTTTTTGTTGAAGCAATTTACATTTGTGATTCATTTCAATGTTTATAGTTGATTTATGTTGCAGTTCTCCTTTTATTTTAGAAAAAAAAAATTTTCTCAATTGTTATGATGTTTATTTGATGCTAAAGATGCCGTTGTGATTTGTTTAGGCTTTAACTGGTCTGTTTTCGAGCTAGATTAGTGTAAGAAAGTATGGTTAATTTGCTTGGGAAGATTCATTTGGATGTTTATTGTTGATTTATATTGCAGTTATCCTTTTATTTTAGGAAAAAAATGTTTTTATTGAATTGTTGTGATGTTTATTTAATGCTGAAGATACATTTTTTTTCTTTAATTGGTAAAGGTTTATTGTCAAAGATTATTTTTTGCTGCATAATTTGGACATTGGAAAGGTCTATGTGGTGTGTGGTTCTGAAGTTGGGGTCTTATTGCCTGTCAACAGGCTTTTGTGGTGCTTTCTGATAATATATTTTTCCCTGTTTAATTCCTCTGGTAATACTGAGTGTAGCTTGTGAAGTGTCAACTGTAGAGAATAGGAATAATTCTTAATTTTTTCAAGCTATGTGAAAACAATAGTTGTTATTATAGTATGCTTGTGGCTACAATCTTTTGGTGCTTCTTCAGTTGAGAAAACTCAGCTGGACCTGTATATGTAATCTCTCCTGCTCCCATCCTCTGCATGGTGTTTTGGGGTTTTTTGGATACATTAAAGTGAAAAAGTCTTCAATTAGTGAATGTGTTCAACATTTGAAGTCCAACTTTGTGATGAAAAAATGAATTTAACTGAGAAAATTTACATGAAAACTGTTTATCAAAAGAAATAATTAATGTCATTGTGCAATTAAATGTAAGGTTGAATGCATACCAAAAAATGGTGACTGGTTGTTCATCTTCTCCACCTCTCTCTCTCTGTCTCGCGCCCGCAACTTTCCCACTCTCCCTCTAATCCAGCTTCAAATCTGTATGTGTGTGCGTGAGTGAGTGTATATACACAAATTGTGAACACCTGTAGCTTTCTCTCTCTCAAGCAACTCATCTGTATATGTTCAGATCTGAACACAGATCTGTATATATATACGGATCTATGTGTGTGTTTGTGTGTGTGCGCGTGTGTTTGTTGTGTGTGTGTGTGTCTTTTTGCTGTGTGAGACAATAATTGAGAGGGAGAGTTGTTGTGTGAGAAGATAATGGGGAGAGAAGGCTTAGGACGTGACTACCTGACTGGAGAGAGAAGGGTTTTGTGGTGATAAGTATTTTTTTTTTTTTTGGTCAGAAGTGATAAATTAAAAATTGGTTTTGTAGATCATTGTCCACACAGGTCTTACTATTTTTTGTTCCTTAAAACCATTTTCAGAACCATATAACCAAGTAAGTTTTGTAATATAAAAATATCAAAAAACACTTTCTTAAAAACTCTTGCCAAAAATTGTTTTCGGATAGTATTTTTAGAAATGCAAACCAAACCGAGCCTCAATGTTTCTAGAAGTTCAATTTGGGCATTTAACTATTTATTGTAAAGCGATAAGGTAAGGTATTCCCATGTTGGCCGTTCCTTCTTTAGGTAAAATAGTCCCTTGTGATAGAATTGACTGATATATGCTCAAACAGTGGCACTAAAGCAAAAAACAGGGCTCATCTCGTAAAAAATGTTCATTTGTGATTGCAATTTTTAGGTTTGAAAGGCCATCAGGGTGCGTGTTTTATTATTGTAGTCTTGTACATTTGTAAGTGCTTTTCTTTGATTGTGTTGTGGAGTGTTTGCTTTTATATTGCTCACATGTTCAGTGTGTGCAGAACAATGAGATTTATTCGGAAAAATGGCTCAGTCAATGAGATTAAAGGCTTGGAATTGTGGCCAATCCTTGGAAGTTGATAATCAAAACTTTTGTAGGAAGATCTCTTGGGATGTGGATTACCTACATGTCTTGGAAGAAACAATGTGAATAGAAATTCAAATGGAGATGATTTCAGAGGTTATGAGCATTTATTTGCAGAAACAAAAAGATGTTGACGGTGGCCTAATGTGTGTGCTAATGTGGTATTGATGTTGTAGAAAATATTGTCTGGTTCTTGAAACAGCAAAATAGGTGGGGTTACTTGCTGAGAGTAAGGGGTATACCTAGAAAGCCTCCATCTAATGATTCATTTCAAAAACTAAAACCCTAAAGTTTCAGGTGAACTTATCTCACCTAAGCTCGAAAGGATGCAGGAAGTCTTCAATGTATTGCTATTTAGCTTAAACTTCTTCACAATATCTTGCTTCGATCTTCAATCTTCAATGTATAGCTGTATCGGGTGTGGTCAATTGGTCATAATGTTGTGCTCTTTCTGTTTGGAGTGGTAGTGTTTATATTTACCCTGGTATGGCAACTTTTGTATGCTTTTTAACATACTTGGACTCTCTTGCTGTTAAGTAGTTTCTTTTAATGAATATCTACGCCGTGCACTGGTGAAGAATCTTATCTTTTTTTCTTTCTTTTTTTTTTTTTTTCTGTTTTTGGAATGGTAGTTTCTATTTAGCCTTGTATTTAAATGTGCACTAGGTTGCTGATAAGACTTCCTCTGAGCCAGATTGTTGGCTCATTGTATTCTCTTCCATGTGTATCAGTTAAATTCACATACTGGTGGAAGCCCTAAACTTCGATGCGTTACATCTATTTTGATCTATATGAAAATTTTGCTGTTTTGGTGAAATTAGACAAACCCAGAGAATGAAAGCATAACAACAATATCAATGGCTTAAATAGAATTGATGTTTTTAACTGAATAGAACAGAAAGACCCAGCAACTCCTGAACAAAGTGTGGCTCTTTGTTTCATATTAATTTGCATTTTTAGTGACTTTATTTTAGCCGCATACTTTATCTTCTAAAAAGCAGCTATGTGATTTTGTGTTACAGACCTTTATAGCTAGCCATGTGGGAGAGGCGTTGATGGCTATTCTACATGGACACATCTTTTGGAGTTTCATGTCCCTGCAAAGTACATAAAGTTCCTGTTGCATTCGGGAGAAGAGACGTCGGTTGACTGTAGGAGTTTTTTGGCATCAGCAAAATTTAGCAAAAAGGTTGTCATGTTCTAGTTGACAATATACATTGTTCTTGTCTTGTCTCGCATGTCGTTTGGGTGGTTCCTCTTGTTAACTTCTCAAGGTTGCTGCCTATATTCGGCCCCATGTACTTTATTTCACTATTTATGCGCTCAGCACTTGGATAAGTTAGTTTTCTTGTTTGATATGGTATTGTGGAATAGGAAGCTTAGAGGTTTGTTAATTGGTTTCTCATCAATCAGAATGTTTCTGATTTTACATTCGTATTTGGAGAAATATGTTTTATGAATGTCATGTATGCTTGACTTGAAACTCTATTACATCCATTGTTCTCCAGATCCCACTGTCGGAATGTAGTTCGGTATTGCTTTGCTTTCAGTCGTTAGTCTTTCTTATCGCGTCACGAGCTAGAAATCTTGACACGTTTTCGCAATTTACTGTGAGTTATATATAATTTGTCTACATGTCAATCATAAATAACTCGCTATTTCCATTTCTTCTTCTTTTCGAATACCTGCATATATAAACCAAGAACCCACCAGTGTCCTTTTTGACCAATAAAAATTAAAATGATAATGATTTACGGTGTTCATATGAAGGCAAGGTGGGGAATCAAACGTAGTATGAATGGTTTATTTTGTTATTCGGATTTGTGAATTGTTTTTTTTTTTAAAAAAAACTCCCTCTCTCGACATTGTAGTCATTAGGGGTGCAACTCGGTCGGATTGGGCGGATTGATAGGTTAACTCTAGTCCAATTATAGGTATATAATCTTCATCTCTAACTCAATTTGAGGTACTCAACCCGAGTATTGCTCGAGTTTAATTTGAGCGGACTTGGGTTGAATTTGGATTGAATTCGGGTTGGACTTAGGTTACTTAATTGGAGTTGATTTTTTGAGGGATAGATTTGATTTTTTCAAGTATAAATCTGATTTTCTCAAATCACGAGTAAAAGAGGGAGGCTGAAAATCTAAAACAAGTCATACGAGTGACGATTGAGAGAGGGAGGCTGAGAGAGGGAACAGTGACGAGTGAGAGGGATTTGAGAGTAATGGGGGCACAGGAGTGAAGATTTGAAGTGAAATTAAAGTCTGAACTCTAAAAAATGAAAATAAATATTAACTCTAGTTAAAAATATTTATATATTTATGTATATTCGGGTTCGACCCGATTATAATATTTAGGTTGAACCTGACAACTCGAGGCCTCAACCCGAGGTTTGTCCAAATTCAATTTAGGTTGGAGTTTTTTTGCTCAGACCCAATTTAAGTATTAAAAATTCTAACTCAAGCCCTGTTTTTTCGAGTTGATCCATCCAAGTTGCACCCCTAATAGTCCTGGCATAAAATTAAGGATGCAACTTAGACGGGCGAACCCGAATTCAACCCAAGTCCAATCCAAAAAAACAGAGCTTGAGTTAAAATTTTTAATTCTTAAATTGAGCCTGGGCAAAAAAACTCCAATCCAGATTGAATTTGGGCAAATCTCGAATTGTAGAGTTCAACTATAATATCAAAATAGAGTTGAACCCGATTATTAAATTGGATCGAACTCGAATATACAAAAATATATAAATATATTTAACTAGGGTTAGTATTTATCTTCATTCTTTAAAGTTAAAATTTGCACTTCACTTTAAGTCTTTGCCCCTGTGTCTCCATCGCTCTTAAATCTTTTTCTTCTTTGTCACTCCTTCCTCTCTCAGCCCTCCTCTCCCAATCGTCACTCGTATGAGTCATCTTAGACTCTTACCCTCCTCCCTCTTCTCACTCGTCATTCTTCCTTCTCTCACTCCCTCTCTCTTCATTTGTGTTTCGCCCTTCATCTTAGATCACTTGAAAAAAATTAGATTTATACTTGAAAAAAT